AAAAAATTATTTTTAAAAATCCACGCCTTGAGAAAAAATTATTTAAAAAATCCACGCCTTCTGAAAAAAAATTATTTTAAAAATCCACGCCTTATGAAAAAAATTATTTTTAAAATCCACGCCTTCTGAAAAAAATTATTTTAAAAATCCACGCCTTATGAAAAAAATTATTTTTAAAATCCACGCCTTGAGAAAAAAAATATTTTAAAAATTCACGCCTTCTGAAAAAAATTATTTAAAAAATCCACGCCTTGAGAAGGTACTCAGAAAAAATAGCTCCAAAAGAATTATTTAAAAAATCCACGCCTTGAGGTCAAGTAGACCTTCATAAAAATTATTTTAAAAATCCACGCCTTGAGAAAAAAATTATTTTAAAAATCCACGCCTTGAGAAAAAAATTATTTTAAAAATCCACGCCTTGAGAAAAAAATTATTTTAAAAATCCACGCCTTGAGAAAATAATTATTTTAAAAATCCACGCCTTGAGAAAAAAATTATTTTAAAAATCCACGCCTTGAGAAAAAAATTATTTTAAAAATCCACGCCTTGAGAAAAAAATTATTTTAAAAATCCACGCCTTGAGAAAAAAATTATTTTAAAAATCCACGCCTTGAGAAAAAAATTATTTTAAAAATCCACGCCTTGAGAAAAAATTATTTTAAAAATCCACGCCTTCTGGTGGTCATTAAAAAAATTATTTTAAAACTTCACGCCTTATGATGGTCCTGAAAAAAAATTATTTTTAAAATCCACGCCTTCTGAAAAAAATTATTTTAAAAATCCACGCCTTATGAAAAAAATTATTTTTAAAATCCACGCCTTGAGAAAAAAAATATTTTAAAAATTCACGCCTTCTGAAAAAAATTATTTTTAAAATCCACGCCTTGAGAAAAAAAATATTTTAAAAAATCCACGCCTTGAGAAAAAATTATTTTAAAATTCCACGCCTTGAGAAAAAAATTATTTTAAAAATCCACGCCTTGAGAAAAAAATTATTTTAAAAATCCACGCCTTGAGAAAAAAATTATTTTAAAAATCCACGCCTTGAGAAAAAAATTATTTTAAAAATCCACGCCTTGAGAAAATAATTATTTTAAAAATCCACGCCTTGAGAAAAAAATTATTTTAAAAATCCACGCCTTGAGAAAAAAATTATTTTAAAAATCCACGCCTTGAGAAAAAAATTATTTTTAAAATCCACGCCTTCTGAAAAAAATTATTTTAAAAATCCACGCCTTATGAAAAAAATTATTTTTAAAATCCACGCCTTGAGAAAAAAAATATTTTAAAAATTCACGCCTTCTGAAAAAAATTATTTTTAAAATCCACGCCTTCTGAAAAAAATTATTTTTAAAATCCACGCCTTCTGAAAAAAATTATTTTTAAAATCCACGCCTTCTGAAAAAAATTTATTTTAAAAATCCACGCCTTGAGAAAAAAAATATTTTAAAAAATCCACGCCTTGAGAAAAAATTATTTTAAAATTCCACGCCTTGAGAAAAAAATTATTTTAAAAATCCACGCCTTGAGAAAAAAATTATTTTAAAAATCCACGCCTTGAGAAAATAATTATTTTAAAAATCCACGCCTTGAGAAAAAAATTATTTTAAAAATCCACGCCTTGAGAGTTGTGCTTTGCCTCTGAAAATTTCTTTAATAAATCCACGTCTTGAGAAAAAAATTATTTTAAAAATCCACGCCTTGAGAAAAAAATTATTTTAAAAATCCACGCCTTGAGAAAAAAATTATTTTAAAAATCCACGCCTTGAGAAAAAAATATTTTAAAAATCCGCGCCTTCTGAAAAAAATATTTTAAAAATACACGCCTTGAGAAAAAAATATTTTAAAAATCCACGCCTTGAGAAAAAAATATTTTAAAAATCCACGCCTTGAGAAAAAATTATTTTAAAAATTCACGCCTTGAGAAAAGAATTATTTTAAAAATCCACGGCTTGAGAAAAAATTATTTAAAAAATCCACGTCTTGAGAAAAAATTATTTAAAAAATCCACGCTTATAAAAAATTAAAAAATATCATGTTTTCATGAATGAAAATTAAGGTTAATAAATTCAACATTTCAAATTTTCTCATGATCGAAATATTTATTTTAAAATCCATTGTTTTCTAGCCTAGGAATTAATTAGAGGTCAGAAAAAAAATTAATTCAAATATAGTTCAGCCTACTTTTCTACGAATTTATATAAATTATCGCTTTTTATGCGAACGTTGTAACATTTCATAATAAAATACAGAAGCAACCACAACAACAACATCGTCATCGAAATGAAATTTTACGGAATTGTTCTGCTGCTAATTCTAAGCTGTTCGCCATGGCTAGCAACGGGACAGAATTATGCCTTTGGACGCTTAATTAATTATGGAGGATTTGGTGCTGAAGCTGGCGGATTTGATGCCGGGTTTCATGGATATGGCATTCGTTTGGGCAGTAGTCGTGGTCCTGGCCTCATTGGAGCCCGAGGTTCGCTGGGGCGTTTGGGTAGAAAATAAATTGTGAAACAAAATTTTAAATCTCAAAAAAATTACTTCGTAATTAATATGCAAATAATTAACAATGAAGAGGTGTTAATTATTATTAAGATTGTAAAAATAATTAGTTAATAAAGAATAGTAATAGGTGTAGAAAATGCGAACCTTAAAAAATATTTATTATACCCTACACAACTATGTTGTCACGGTATTATAGCTTTGTGCAACCCTCAGAAGTTTGTAACGCCGCGAAATATTGGTCCTAGACCCACCTTTAAGTATACCGATCGTCATATCTCTACTAGCTGAGTCAATCTAGACATGTGTGTCCGTCCGTCTGTCCATTGTAATTTGTAAACACGATACAGGCCACAGTTATGGAGCAATCTTCACGAAAATTTGCATTTAGGATGGGTTCTGGCCAATGAAGACCCCTATTGGTATTTTTGGTAAAGATCGGTTATTATTTAGGGGATGAAATGGAACAAAAACTTTATTTTTGTCTGATTTTCTGGTCGCCCCAGTGGCTGCAATTATGGCCCAAACATCACGAATTTTTACATGGAGAAGGGGATCGGGCCAAAGAATAAACATGCCTGTTTTGATAAAGATCGGTCAATATTTAGCTGGTCAAATGGACCCTGACTTTTGTGTGAAAAATTACAAAATTTGTATTCTATGGCGTATAAATTTACTCCTGATGGACATAGACCTGAGGAGTTTATAATATATCGAAGAGGAATGGTTGGCCTTCAAATTGATAGCAATTACATTGTCCTATGTACCCGGATGTGGGAGTTACACTTAAATATTTACAGGTGCTTACGTATTCAGATATTATTTAGTAACCCATTACCACACTAGAGGGCGGAAATATATCGCTGATCGCTTTGAAATGTTCCGTGAGGTTCCGGTTGTGGTCAAGGACAACGCGTATAACTTTCGGTGATGAGCAGATTATAATTATGGGATGAAGTGGGCCGAATACTGAATTTTTTGTGTTTTTTCGAGTCGATGCCACTAATAGGCCGAACAAAACAACACAACCCTCGGTGAAGGAAATCTGGACAATTAATTAAAAGGCTGTACTGAATATTAGTAAGATTCGGAAAATATGTCAGTGTAAGGAAGAGGTTCTGTTGACCTCTAAACGGGCTAGAGGGAGCAAATATCACGAAATATTGCCCAGGCTTGGAATAAACATCCGAAGAAAGTTAGAGTTCCATGGTAGTTATGTAGGCTATCGTATGGTCGGTCCTGTCCGACTATACTGCTCCGCTCACTGGTTTTGTTATACCCTTCACCACACTGTGGTACAGGGTATTACGTCTTTGTGCATATGTTTGTTTCTTTTGAGAATAAGCGTAGAATCACTTTTTAAATCGATGTAAGCATGTTCGTTCGCCCGTCTGTCCGTCTGTCCATATTAAATTCGAATTGGATAAAATTTGGCACAGCTCATTTATTTGGCCCAAGGACGTACCCTAATGAAATTGGGAAAAATCGGTTCAAATTTAGTTATAGCTCCCATATATATTTTCGTCCGATTTAATGTAAATGGTCCACCAAAGTCCCTTAATATACTTCGATTTGCACTAAATTTTGCATAGCGCACTGAATTGAGTCTGAAATTACGTGTGCCAAGTTTCGTCCGATTTAAGGTAAATGGGGCACCAAAGTCCCTATATATCTTTCGATTTGCCCGAAATTTGGCACAGCGTACTGAATTGAGTCTGAAATGATGTGTGCCAAGTTTCATGAAAATCGGTTCAGATTTAGATATAGCTCCCATATATATATTTTCGTCCGATTTTGAGTAATTAGTGCACCAACGTCCCTATATATCTTTCGATTTGCACGAAATGTGGCATAGCGAACTGAATCAAGTCTGGAAAGATGTGTGTTAAATTTCGTAAAAATCGGTTCAGATTTAGATATAGCTCCCATATATATTTCCGTCCGATTTAAGGTAATAGGTGCACCAAAGTCTCTGAAAATCATTCGATGTGCACGAAATTGGGCATAGCGTACTGAATAAAGTCTAGAATGATGTCTGCCAAGTTTCGTGAAAATCGGTTCAGATTTAGATATAGCTCTCATATATATTTTCGTCCGATTTAAGGTAAATGGGGCACCAAAGTCCCTATATATCTTTCGATTTGCACGAAATTTGGCACAGCGTAAGGAATGATGTGTGTTAAGTTTCCTGAAATCGGTTCAGATTTAGATATAGCTTCTATAACTGACCAAATGAAAAATTTAGTATCGGTTGTAGAATGACATGTTTCATTTTACAGGTCCTTTAAAATTCGACGTCTGTTAGGATTCATCCATAGTGGTGAAAGATATCATATAGTCGGCCCCGTCCGACTTTATTGCATTCCTTACTGGATTCAAGTTAGTAAAGTGAAAAAAAATTGTGTATGTATGTGTGTTCGTTATATTTTTTATTGAATTAATTTTTTGAAAACATATTTAAACATTTGATTTCCACGACATTGGAACTGCATCACTTCACTTGCCACCACCGCCGCCGCCTCCGCCACCACCACCACCTGGCAATGGTCTGGGTTCAGGATGAGGATTTGGATTGGGATTAGCTGTAAAAAAAATGAAATAGAAATTTTTTTATTAATTCGAAATATTATCATGGATAGGAAAGTTTTTTTTTTCAACTCACCCATGGCCAATGACAGCAAGGCTAAGGCAACTGCAAATAGAGCGTAGATTTTCATGTTGACAAATGATGCCACTATCAGCTTATGCCAAGGTATTTATACAATATTTGAAAATAAATATTGAAATCACTGTTTATACAATTTACTATTGAGGGGCACTCACGTGTCAATAGCTAGGGAATCCCTTTGTTTCTAAGAAATCGTTGCAGGTTTTTATGTCGCAGTTAATAAACAATAAATGTTTTTTTTTTTTGTAATTTGAATAATTTTATTCGATATTCAATAATAATAAATTAAAACATAAAATCACGACTAGATGGAGGAATATAATTTTTTAAATAGCTGGAATAGTTGAATATGAATAGATAATTTTTTAAAAAACATTTAGACCAAGGCGTGGATTTATTAAAAAATATTTTTTGAAGCCACGACAAGGCGTGGATTTATTAAAAAAATATTTTTTGAAGCCCCGACAAGGCGTGGATTTATTAAAAAAATATTTTTTTAAGCCACGACAAGGCGTGGCTGGTGGCGTTGAAGATGATTGATACCAAACAACGGCTCTGATTGGCTTTAACATGGCGAAGTCCAGTCTTATCTTGGTCCCTCTTTCATCTCAATTGTGGACACTGACCTCCCCGTGGTGCCACCTGGGGTAGATATTTTCATCACCCGATGAAATAGTGAGCTAATATGTGCTGCGAGTTCACCCATAAGAACTATAAAAATGGGTTGAGGTGTCGGGTTAGTTGCCCACACTCGGAAAACCCCTCCTACTATGAAAAATCGAAAAAAAAGAAAACCAAACCCACCTAATGTTGACGATCCCCGCAAATGTATAAAGGACCACGATCTGCGAATCTGCACTTGGAATGTGCGCACGTTGTACAAAGCCGATATTATTGCCTTACAGGAAATGCGATGGAAAGGGACTGGCGTAAGTAAATCAGATGATTACGCCCTGTATTATGGCTGCCATGATACGAGACATGAATTTGGCTGCGGATTTATGGCTATCAGGAGAATAAAAGACCTCGTCTCCAGATTCACTCCAGTGGATGAGCGAATTGCTATAATCCGTGTAAAACGAAGTTCTTCTACATCAGTCTCATTTGCGCCCATGCTCCGGCCGAATGTAAAGATGAACAGACCAAAGATATATTTTACGAGCACCTAGAAACAGCATATGATCGTTGCCCTGGCTATGACATTAAAATTCTGCTAGGAGATTTTACTGCAAAAATCGGAAGGGAAATATATATTTGGCTCCATCGTCGGAAAATTCAGGTTCCATGAAGTAACATCCGACAACGGCATGAGGCTGATTGACTTCGCGGCAGCAAAAAACATAGTAGTTAGCAGCACCAGATTCAAGCATCTCGATATACACAAGGTCACTTGGATTTCTCCCGATCGAACAACGAGAAATGAAATGGATCATGTTGTGATAGACGGAAAGCATTAATCCAGTGTTTTAGACCGATCGATCGATCCGAGGAGCGAATATCGATTCGGACAATTACCTTGTGGCAGCCAAGGTATGCACCCGTGTTAATGTAGCAGCAAAGGTGCGATCTAATGTAAGACGGAAATTTGACGTCGAAAAGCTGCAAACGCAACAGGTAGCCGAGGCCTACTTCGCTCAACTTACCCAACTGCTTGACGAAAGCACCCCTTGTGTCGATAATAATATAGAAGCACAGTGGCAAAGAATTGCCCACTCCCTACAAACTGCAGCAAAAGCAACACTTGGATACCAAAGACCACCATCAAGAAATCCGTGGTACGATCAGGAGTGTCGTAATGCTACTTATGCGAAAAACGCAGCGTATAGGGCAACCCTGCCGACAGTAGCAACACGTACTGCGATGGAGAACTATCGGGAGAAAAGGAGAGAAAAGAAACGTATTTTTCGAAAAAAAAGAGGAAAAAACAAGAAAAACGTGAGCGTGAGCAAATCGAGATGTACATGAGTCAGAATGAAGTCCGAAAATTCTACCAACGGGTAAAACACCAAACCGAAGACTTTGGTGCAGGCACATCCTCCTGTAGAGATGAAGAGGGAAACCTGCTGACAGATACAGACAGCGTGCTGAGGATCTGGAAAGAGCATTTTGAAAAACTTCTGGTATCATGTAGTGGCGGTGCAGAGGATACCCCAGAACCAATAATAGATGACGGTATAGAGTGTATACCACCTAGCCAAGATGAAGTCAAAATAGCAATCAATCGGCTGAAGCATAATAAAGCAGCATGTGCCAATGGGTTACAAGCCGAACTATTCAAGACTGGTGGTCAGATGCTGGTAAGGAGCATGCACCAGCTGATTAGTACAATTTGGCTAGAAGACTGCATGCCCAATGATTGGAACCTCAGCATCCTGTGTTCCGTGCACCAAAAAGGAGACAAGACGATGTGTGCCAACTATAGAGGAATAAGTCTCCTTCCCATCGCATAAAAAATGCCATCCAGCGTACTGTGTGAACGACTGAAGCCCAGGGTCAATGACATTATTGGACCATACCGGCTAATGTGACTCCAGACCTGGCAAATCCATCATTGACCCGATTTTCACTCTGCGCTAAATCCAGGAAAAGACCCACGTAAAACACATCGACACATATCACCTATTCGTCGATTATAAGACCGCATTCGACAGCCCTATCCGTTCGGAGGTGTATAAAGCCATGTCTGCGTTTTGCATTCCTGCAAAATTTATACGACTATGCAGGATAACTTTAACTGGCAAAGGATCAGCAGTTAAAGTCGGAAAGGACAACTCGGAGCCCTTTAATACCGAACGAGGATTCAGACAAAGTGACAGTTTGTCGTGTTTGTCGGTCATACGAGAGGCAAAGGTGAACAGAAATGGCACTCTGTACACCAAACAACACATGTTACTCGCCTACGCCGATGACATCGACATAATGGGTCGAACACTGAGAGCGGTAACAGCCACCTTCGAACAAATCGAGAAGGAGTCTGCCAAAGTGAGAAGACCAAGCTGATGGTATCAACGCGCAAGACGTCCAGTAGACACTGACGGAAGGGGCCTCTCGGAGCCCTTTAATGCCGAACGAGGATTCAGACAAGGTGACAGTTTGTCGTGTGACATTTTTATCATCGAACATTGAGAGCGGTAACAGCCACCTTTGAACAACTCGAGAAGGAGTCTGCCAAAGTGAGAAGACCAAGCTTATGGTATCAACGCGCAAGACGTCCAGTAGACTCGGACCAACTGTGGAACTTGAGAACTACAGCTTTGAGGTAGTCAAAGATTTTATGTATCTTGGTACCGCCATAAACAAAACGAATGACATCAGTTTTGAAATTCGGAGAAGGATAGTGTTGGCCAACAGATGCTACTATGGTCTGAGTAAGCAGTTTAAGGCCACATCCTGCCAGACCAAACTCACACTTTATAAGGCGCTGACACTACCCGTGCTGCAATATGCATCTGAAGCATGGGTACTTACGCAAGCAGATGAGGCAGCTCTTGGAGTGTTTGAGAGAAAAATTCTCCGAAAGATCTATGGGCCGATCTGCGTTGACGGTGAATATCGCCGTCGAATGAACCATGAGCTGTACCCAGCTATTCTCGGACATCGACATTGTTAGGCGTATTGAGCTGCAGCGACTACATTGGCTAGGTCATGTTGTGAGAATGGACGAAAATGCCCCAGCCCAGAAGGCATATAAAAGCGAACCAGCTGGATGGTTCACGCAGAAGGGCAAGGCCACGAATAAGATGGAAAGATCAAGTGGAAGACAGCATTGCCGAATATGCCGTCTTTCATATTTGGAAAAAAACTGCGCAAAAGACCGACGCGCCTGGAAATCTTTTTTAAGCTCGGCTTATGGAACGAAAGTTCTGTCACAAGCCAAGTAAGTAAGTAGGCCAAGGCGTGGCTTTATTAAAAATTATTTTTTGAAGCCACGACAAGGCGTGGTCTTATTAAAAAATATTTATTTTTTTTTAATTAAATTTTGTTCAGTAAATGCCACCTAGATACTAGATTTGTAATAAATCAGTTGTTTGTTGTAACTGTTTGCTTAGCAAAAAAGTTTCCCCTAGTTATCGGCTCAAAGTAATAAAAAAAAAACAATTAAAACAACAAACATAACAAATATTAACTGCGCCGTATAAAAAGAAGCCCTCTTGAATGATGGATGGAAAATTGTTTGACACTCAGTTCGAATTGAGTGGTGATAATAATGAGAACGTTATTTGTAATCGGCCTGCTGGTTGTCAGCTGTTGTTTGGTGTTGTGTAGGGCGCAGTATGGTGGTGGCGGTGGTGGACGTTTAGGTGGAGGAGGAGGTGGTGGTCGTTTAGGTGGAGGAGGAGGAGGTGGTGGTAGCAGTCCCTATGGTGGAGGTGGTGGTGGCCCCTATGGTGGAGGTGGTGGCGGTCCTTATGGTGGCGGCGGTGGTGGTCGCTTTGGTGGTGGAGGAGGCGGTGGAGGAGGCGGTGGAGGTTATGGCCGTTAATCGAGTTAAAATTTTTAATTAAACAAACAATAAAAGTGGAATAATTGAAAAAAAAAAAAACTTTTTATTAATAAAGAATTTCGATAACTTACTGGAAAAAATATTATTGGAACGATATACCGAAGAAAAGTAAGGGACTCGGACGTGGTGTATAATCGAAATACTAAAGATTTTTTTGATGGCAAAATTATTTTTTGCAAGGAATCCAGATTAGTAGGTTCATCCTTTCACTTTTGGTTGACATAAACCATTTCTGATTTATGATTTCTTTTGGATGGTAAAAATATCCTTTCAAGGCCATTATATTTACTGAGGTAAGTACTGAGGTAGTAAAGTTGCACCCACCCCAATTTTTTTTTTATTTTTGAAATTTCATTCAAATATATTTGAAAATCAATTTCAAACCCGACCCATTTACATTTTTATTAGAATAATTTTTTTTTTAAACTTGTTTTCAATCATTTTTGTAAAAAAAATTTTATTAATTTAATACAATTAAATATATTTTATATATTCAATTTTATTCGGACAACGACATCAGGTTTCAAAATATGATTTAGAAACAGGTATGTGATTAAAAAAACTGTATAGCTGCACGTGTGTTCTGAAAATTCAAGGACAACAAGATGAAAGTCTTTCGAAATTAAATTGAAAGGACAATGGCCTTTGGAATAAAAAATGGATGTGTCTTAAGTCTTTTGTATTAAATTCAATTAGACAATTTTTTGTAGATTTTTCGAAATTTTTTATTTTTCAACAAAAAACCATTCACAGGGTTCCGTTCCGTCGGTAGTAGTGCGTAGATTTCTAATACACATTTTTTCAAAGCAAGGATTTTTTCACAAAAAAAAAAAAAAAAAAAAAATAAATAAATAAAATAAAAAATAAATAAAAATGGCCTCCTAAGTCTGTTTTTATTAAAAAATATTTTCCAATATTTTTTCCAAATATGTTTCCAATATTATCCTAGGTCTAGTTTTTTTTAGAAAAATGTTTCAAATAATATTTTTTCCATAGAAGTCCGTGGCGTAGTTATAAAAATAATTCGTCCTTAGTAGACCAAGGCATGGATTTTTAAAGATTTTTTTTTTAATTTCTGTAAGGAGTATATGTTTAACAGAAGTTTAAAAATAAAAAATCTTTAAAAATATTTTTTAAAGAATATTTTTTTCGAGCTATTACAAGGCAGGTATTTTTTAAATAATGTTTTTACAAGCTACCACAAGACGTAGATATTTGTAATATTTTTTTTCAAGACCTGGATTTTTAAAAAAAAATTTTCAGGTCCTACATTTAAAAAAAAAATCTCAGGGCCTAGATTTTTTAATATTTTTTCCAGGGCCTGGATTTTAGCAGCTGCCACAAGCTGGGGATTTGTATACCCTTCACCACACTATGGTACAGGGTATTATGTCTTAGTGCATATGTTTGTAACAGGCATGTTTTCTTTTGATAATATGCATAGAACCTCTTTCTAAATCGATTTATGCATGTCCGTCCGTCTGTTGGTGTTAAATTGTAAACAAAGTACAGGTCGCATTTATGATCCAAATTGGATGAAATTTGGTATACGTCACTTGTTCGGCCCAAGGACGAACCCTATTGAAATTGGAAAAAGTCGGTTCAGATTTAGATATAGTTCCGATATATATTTTCGTCCGATTTTATGTAAAAAGGGCGTACTAAAGTCCCTATATATCTTTCGATTTGCACGAAATTTTGCATAGCGTACTGAATTAAGAGTGGAATGAAGTGAGTTAAGTTTCGTGAAAATCGGTTCAGATTTAGATATAGCTCTCATATATATTTTCGTTCGATTTAATGTAAATGGTGCACCAAAGACCCTATATATTCTACGATTTGCACGAAATTTGGCATAGAGTACTGAATTGAGTCTAGAATGACGTGTGCTAGGTTTCGTGAAAATCGGGTCAGATTTAGGTATAGATCCCATATATATTTTCGCCCGATATAAGGTAAATGGTATCTTTCGATTTGCACGAAATTTGGCATAGCATACTGAATTGAGTATAAAATGATGTGTGTTAAGTTTCGTGAAAATCGGTTCAGATTTAGATATAGCTCCCATATATATTCGTCCGATTTGATCTAAATGGTGCACCAAAGTCTTTATATAACTTTCGATTTGCACGAAATTTGGCACAGAGTGATGAATCAAATCTATAATGATGTGTGCTAAGATTCGTGGAAATCGGTTCAGATTTACATACAGGTCCCAAATATATTTTCGTCCAAAGACTTTATATAGCTTTCGATTTGCATGAAATTTGGCTTATCGTAATGAATTAAGTGTAGAGTGACGTGTTTAGTTTCGTGAAAATCGGTTCAGATTTAGATATTGCTTCCATATACTTTCGCCTGATTTAATTTTAATTTGACATAGCGTACTGAATTGAGTCTAGAATGATGTGTGTAAAGTTTCCTGAAAATTGTCGATTTTAAGACCGATTGTGTCGTCCGATTTTAAGTAGGACTCAAGGACCCAAAATATGTCCATAAGGATAAAACGTGCATATATTAGTATAACCTAACCTGTGAAAAGTTTCGTTGAAATCCATTCATATTTGGCTATAGAATAGAATAATGTAATTGATTGTAGAAGTACAGATGTAGCCCTATATATTTCCGACCGACTTCGTGTTAATTGGGCTCGATTTACATAATTGTGTCCCATTGTAACAAACGAATGACATGTGTATGGATTGAAAAATGAAAAATAAATCATATTTTGTGACAACTACCACAAGGCCTGGATTTTTTAAATATTTTTTCATGGCCTAATATTTTTGGCATCTACCACAGACGTGGATTTTCCAAAGAATATTTTTTAAGCTACATCAAAGCGTTGATTTTTCATATAATTTTTTCAGAGCCTAGATTTTTTAAACAATATTTTTTGGCAAAGGTTAGATTTTTTACATATTTTTTTTGCAGCTACCCCAGGGCGTAGATATTTTAAAGGTCGTACCTAAATTCATGCGTATGCGTACGATTTTATTCACCTCAAAAGTTAAATACATGTATTTTAATGAATGTTACGCATTGCGTATAAAAATATAAAGTTGAAAATTTTCAACATTGACAATGCGTATTTTGGAATTTTTTGTTTTTTGAAAAAAGAATTTCAGTCATTGAATAATTTGTTTTTCTATACATGTAAACATTTTTTGATCAATTAAAAAAATATTGTCATCCATTTTCGCCGTTTTCAATTGGCACAGATACAAATAGTAGTCTTGGGTAGTACGGACGTCTAACAAACCCTATAAAGGTGAGAAGGTGAGTATTTTTGTACGGAGCGCAATAAATTAGGTACGAACCTAAAAGAATATTTTTTCAAGCCACCATAAAGTGAAGATTTTTAAAAATAATATTTTTAAAATAATATTCGACTATGAATGCTTTGAATAATATACTCTACTAAAAATATTAGGAACTCAACATAATCCGCATATTGCAAACAAATATCTCTTGATATTCATATTTTTCAATAGAAAATATATAAAAGATATTTTGTGTTAATAATCCGCAAACTAGGAGCTATTAGCTTAATTTCAAAAATTTTTAAACTTCTATGGCAAAGTTATAACCATTTGAAATAAAAATTATTTTTAAATAGAACAAATGTGCGTATGACCGTGAACAACACTTATACGCATCAGAAGTCTACTGCTTAAAGATACTTTTTAACTACTTCGGTAGACTACTTGAATAATTGTTTCCTTAATGAATCCTCGACTATTGCCATTTGGAATAATTTTCTCAAGCCAAAATATCCTTAACTCAATATTTTCCTCATATTGCAAATAAATAATGTCTCTTGAATTTAAAATTTTCTCATAATAACCTGCTGATATTTTCTACTTCCAAACCCCTAAAACTAGAAGCCTTTAGCTTCCTTATTCTTTTTATTTCATTAAAATATGTCGATTTTTAGCAAAGCTATAGCGATTTGAAATAAAAACTCTAAAAATGAATTAGTGATAGGACAATACTGCGTATAAGTATTGCCACTACTTATACGCATCAGCAGCCTAGTGATCACATGTAGTTTTTAACCAATATTTGTCGACTACTTGGAGACATTTTTCTTTAACATATCCTCGATTAAGGATGTCTGAAATAATATTCTATAATTAAAATATTCTCAACTAAACATTTCCCCCACATTATCAAAAAAATGTCTCCTGATTCTAAGATTTTCTCCTAACAACCTATTGACAAGATCTTCTACAACCAAAATCCTAAAGGCAGAAAACATTAGCTTCATAATTCTTCTTATTTCAATACGACTATTTATAGCAAAATTGTAGCTATTTGAAGTATAATCCCTAAAAATAATTATTGGTAGGACAATATTGCGTATGACGTTGACAATACTTATACGCATCAGAAGTCTACTGATCACAGATAATTTGTTTAACTACATTTGTAGATTACATACATGAAAAATGTTATACGTTGATACGTTTTTAACTTCGTCTGTAGATTACTCGAAAAATAGTATTCCTTAACAAACCCTGAACTAAGGATGTTTGGAATAATATTATTCTAGTAATAATAATATTCTAGTTAAAATATTCATAACTAAATATTTTCCTCATATTGTAAAACAAAAAATCTCTTCTTTTTAAGATATACTCATAATGACCTATTGGCAATATCATCTGGAACGCAAATTCTAAAATTAGAAACCTTTTGATTCATTAATATTTTTATTTTACTTTTAAACGACTATTTATAGCAAATTTGTGGAGTTTTGAAATAACATCTCTGGCAGGACATCAGTGCGTATAAGTGTTGACACTACTTATACGCATAAAAGTCCTGCTGACCGCAGAACAATGTATTGATTTTCCTTTAAAGATTTGTTTTAGCACTTTTTTACATTATTTCTAATTTTTAAACGATATTTTTTAAAGCTACCACAAGTCTTCCCTTTTTTAATATTGTATTTTTTTAATAATCTTTTTTTATTTCTTTGGAATTTTTTAGAGAAATATATTTTTATGAATTTAAAAAAATAAAACTCTTATTAATGCTTTAACTATTTTTTATTGAATATTTTTATTTTATAAACGGAGGACATTTCAAATATCCGCATCCCTGGTCATGGCAAATTACTTGCCACCACCGCCGCCTCCTCCTCCTCCGCCACCACCATAGAAACCACCACCTCCGCCGCCGCCTCCACCGCCACCAGGCAATGGTTTTGGTTCAGGATGAGGATTTGGATTAGGATTGGCTAAAAAATTAAAAAAAATTGTATTTTTCATTAATTTGAGGAACCTCATCTCCAAACAATTTTTCTTAATTTTATTTCCGGACCCTTATCTCCAACTTACCCATGGCCATAGCCAACAAGGCCAAAACAAATGCAAATAAAGCGTAGAATTTCATTGCGACAAATGATGATCTTATCTGCAATAGCACAGAGTATTTATACAAAAAATAAATAAAAGAAAATGCAAACTAATATGGATATTATATTGAAACAACTACTGGTTTATTTTGTAACCCACCTGTTAGCGCTAAAGAAGAAAATTCCCCCTTTTCTTGATAAAAATAAAGAAATAAATATCAATTCAATTTTATGTCGCATTTAATTAAACAATTGGATATCTAGAATTAATTGCGATTGAATAAATCGCTGAGATATTATGCTTCAATTGAAATGTGCAAATTGATTGAAAGGGTATAGTACCTTATTCTGCTAAAACAATGCTAATGGGAAATAGTTAATTGTTATCGGTATCGAAATGATGAAATAACATAGGAAGTATTATGCGGAAAAGTTGTCTTTAATAAATCCACTTTTGAGAGCTACATGGAAGTCAATGCCTTGAGGACTATTTGGAAAAAATATTCCTTAACTAGCATATGCCCGCAATTTCGTTAGCGAATGTAGGAAATACTTAAACATGTATTAACATATTATGTTATTTTCACAGAAAACTGCATATGTCAGAAAAAAAACAATCCACACATAAATATCGACCATAAATTAATTTTGAGTACCATTTAGTACCAAATTTCATGAATCGAGCTCAGAAGGTTCACCCAAATACAAATTTTACCAAATTTAGTTCCACATTATTTCCACAAGTACTCTTCTCAACCATCCAACAAAGCTTCCTGCTACCCCGGTCCTACACCCCCACAATGATTCTAAATTCAAATTTCAGGATTCCAACGCTATTGGTTAACCCACAATTCAAATTGTACCAAATTTAGTGCACAGTAGTACGAATTTCCAAAACTTGCTACTTAACCCAAAACCTACACCGCGACAATGCTCCTAAATCTAAGTTTCAGGATTCCAACTCTATCGGTTCACCCGCAATTCAAATTACACCAAATTTAGTACACACAATTTCCAAAACCTCCTACATAACTCAAACCCGACAGTGATTCGAAATCAAAGTTTCAGGATTCCAACTCCATAGGTTCGCAATCCAAATTGTACCAAATTTAGTACATAGTTGTACCAATTTCCAAAACTTCTTACATACCCCAATCCTACACCTCCACAGTCATCCTAAATCCAAGTTTCAGGATTCCAACTCTATCGGTTCATCCACAATTCAAATTGTACCAAATTTAGTACACAGTAGTACGAATTTCCAAAACTTGCTACTTAACTCAAATCTACACCCCGACAAATGCTCCTAAACTCAAGTTTCAGGATTCCAACTCCATAGGTTCACAATTCAAATTGTAAACTTCTTACATACCCCAATCCTACATCCCTACAGTCATCCTAAATCCAAGTTTCAGGATTCCAGCATTATCGGTTGACCCACAATTCAAATTGTACCGAATTTAGTACACAGTAGTACGAATTTCCAAAACTTCCAACATACCCCAATCCTACACCCTCACAGTGATTCTAAATTCAAGTTTCAGGATTCCAACACACAATTCAAATTGAACCAAATTTAGTATACAGTAGCACGAATTTCCAAAACTTCCTACATACCCCAATCCTACACCCTCACAGTGATCCTAAATTCAAGTTTCAGGATTCCAACTCTATCGGTTCATCCACAATTCAAATTGTACCAAATTTAGTACACAGTAGTAATTAATTCCAAAACCTCCTTCCAACCCCAAATCTACACTCCCACAGTCATCCTAAATCCTATTAGTGCACCCGCAACTCAAATTGTACCAAATATAGTACATAGTTCCACCAATTTCCAAAACTTCTTACTTACCCCAATCCTACACCCCCACAGTCATCCTAAATCCAAGTTTCAGGATTCCAACACTATCGGTTCACCCACAATTCAAATTGTACCGAATTTAGTACACAGTAGTACGAATTTCCAAAAAATTCCTACATACCTCAATCTTACACCCTTAAAGTGATCCTAAATCCAAGCTTAAGAATTCTAACTCTATGGGTTCACCCACAATTCATATTGTACCAAATTTAGTACACAGTAGTACTTAATTCCAAAACCTCCTTCCTACCCTAAACCTACACCCCTAAGTTTCAGAATTCCAACACTGTCGGTTCACCTACAGTTTAAATTGTACCAAATTTAATACACAGTAGTACCAATTTCCAAAACTTCCTACATACCCCAATCCTACACCTCAACAGTGATCCTGACTTAAAATTTCATGATTCTAGCTCTATTGGTTCACCTAAAATTCAAATTGTACCAAATTTAGTACCACTTAGTACCAATAAGTATTAATTCCTTTTAACTGAATCCTGGCCCAAATCCTACACCCCTACAATGATCCTGACTCGAAATTTCATTGTTCCTGCTCTATAGGTTCACCCATATAGTACGACTTAGTACTTTTCGTACACATAAGTAAGAAATTTCCAAAACTACGTACATATCCCAATCCTACACTCCCACGTTAATAGTAATTTCAGAATTCCAGCACGATTTGTATCTTCAATTCAATTTGTACCAAATATAGTACCAGATAGATCTTTACGTACACGTAAGTACACATTTTCAAAACAATTTTCTTAAATAGACTGTACATCTCAATTCTAGTTCGCATTCCAGATTTCAAGTTTTTAGGGCTATCCATTCACATGCTACAGAATTGTACCAAATTTAGTACATTTTCGTACTTTTCGGATAGTTATAGTTCGAATTTCTAAAAACCCTTTGTTACATCTATCCTACCCTTTGGTACATCTATTCAGAGTTCTAGCTCTACCGGTTCGGCAAATACAAATGGTATTATATTTAGTACTTTTCGTACCGTTCTAGTACGTATTTCCAAAAATCCAGCCGTATCTGTAACCTTTGGACCATGAGTGACCCTAACCTAAAATTTCAAGATTCTAGCTTCAGCCGTTTCGTCTGGGCGCTGATGAATCGTTAAATCAGCCGGTCAATCACTTTACTCTTTTATTAGGGCTGCTAGGAAAAATATTCTTTAATAAATCCACGCCTTAGGGTTCCTTGAAAAAATATTCTTTAATAAATCCACGCCTTAGGGCAGGTTGAAAAAATATTCTTTAATAAATCCACGCCTTAGGGCAGGTTGAAAAAATATTCTTTAATAAATCCACGCCTTAGGGTTCCTTGAAAAAATATTCTTTAATAAATCCACGCCTTAGGGCAGGTTGAAAAAATATTCTTTAATAAATCCACGCCTTAGGGCAGGTTGAAAAAATATTCTTTAATAAATCCACGCCTTAGGGCAGGTTGAAAAAATATTCTTTAATAAATCCACGCCTTAGGGCAGGTTGAAAAAATATTCTTTAATAAATCCACGCCTTAGGGCAGGTTGAAAAAATATTCTTTAATAAATCCACGCCTTAGGGCAGGTTGAAAAAATATTCTTTAATAAATCCACGCCTTAGGGCAGGTTGAAAAAATATTCTTTAATAAATCCACGCCTTAGGGCAGGTTGAAAAAATATTCTTTAATAAATCCACGCCTTAGGGCAGGTTGAAAAAATATTCTTTAATAAATCCACGCCTTAGGGCAGGTTGAAAAAATATTCTTTAATAAATCCACGCCTTAGGGCAGGTTGAAAAAATATTCTTTAATAAATCCACGCCTTAGGGCTGCTTGGCAATATATTCCTTATAGAATTCTCGACTATAGAAAAAATTATTTTTTAGAACATTCCCGATTAGGCATGCTTGCAATAATATTCTTTGCCCACATTTGGCAATTTTTTTTACATTAAGAGGGCGTCATATTAATTGATCGAATTTTCAATATTCTAAAAGTAAAACATTTAGATTTATAAGACTTTTTATTTCACTTAAATACGACCATTTGTGGCAAAGATATAATCATTGGAAACCCCCTATAAAAAGTTAATAGTGTGTAGGACAACACTGCGTATGAGCGTTGACACTACTTATACGTATAATAGTCCTGCTGTCATAATTCTATAACTTTGGAAAAATATTCTTAAAAAATCCACGCCTTGTTTATGCCTCCAAAAATATTATTTAAAATCCAGTGAGCGGAGCAGTATAGTCGGACGGGGCCGACCATTTGATACCCTACACAACTACCACGAAAATGAAACTTTCTGTGGTTCTATATACTGAGCCTGGGCAATATTTCGAGATATTTACACCCTTTTTACCGATTATTGATCAACAACTTCACTTTTTAACCCTGGCATATTTTCCAATTTTTTTCTTGAAGTGAATTTTTAAACCGTAAATCGGAAGATCATTTCAAAGCTATCAGCGCGACATTTCCGTCCTCTAATGGAGTAATAGTAATACTATGCACATAGTCACCTTTACCTAATTACGTATAACTACCACATCAGAGTACATGCAGCCATAAATTTGGTATCAATTTGAGGGTCAATAACTCCTCTTGGATACACAATCAACTTCTCGGGTCTTTGTCCTTCAGGAGTAAATACAAATTTTTTCAGTTTTCAGACAAAAGTCAGGGTCCATTTGACCCGCTAAATATTGACCGATCTTTATTTAAACAGGCATGCGTATTCTGTGGCCCGAGCCCCTTCTCCATGTCAAAAACAGTAAGGAAAGCAGTAAAGTCGGACGGGACCGACTATATGATACCGTTCACCACTTTGGGTGTATTCAACAGATGAATCCTAACAGGTGTCGCTTTTTTAAAAGACCAGTAAAATGAAATTGGATCCATAAACATGTCATTCTGCATCCTATACTAAATTTTGCATTTCATGAAACTTAACCTAATTCATTACGCCGTGCCAAATTTTCGTGCAAATCGAAAGATATATATGGACTTTAGTGCACCATTTACCTTAAATCGGACGAAAATTTATATGGGAGCTATATCTAAATCTGAACCGATTTTCAGGAAACTTAACACACATCATTGTAGGCCTAATTCATTACGCTGTGCCAAATTTCGTGCAAATCGAACGATATATAGGGTCTTCGATGAACCATTTACATTAAATCGGACGAAAATATGTATGGGAGCTATATCTAAATCTGAACCGATTTTC